TTCCCCCCCCCCCCCTATATTTATCACTTTAAATGCATATTGCTGACCATTTGCTTTCCTAAGCCACCGGGAGGCGGTGAGCCCGTGTGCGTGGGCCATTTCAATGCTGCTTGCAGCTTTAACTTTTTTTATGTTTTTAAATGAAGTCTCTCATTCTCACCTCTCTCTTTCTAAGAATCCTACTGACTCCAGTTTTGAACAGTATAGTGTAGATGCATAGACAAGACTTCATACTGATTAATAATGAACTCTGCGTAGTTAAAATGTGTCACTTTGTCATTTAAATTTACTTAAACTGTCTTTCATTCTTAAAAACATTGTCTTGTATGCATTTTTTATTTTCAATCTCACATTTTTTCATTTATCCACAGCAAAAAAATCATCAAATCATCACTAGTGATGGAGATACAGTGTACAGGAAATTGCAGAAATATGGCTGAAATGTCCCAAATATTTTGTTTGGGATGTGGACTTTGCGTCAGTGAGTCAGCATAGCTGGTCTCGAGTGACGCCGGGGCTGTAGGGATCAGATGCAATGTACCGTACTGACGTACCATGTATACGCACAAATGTAGACATACACATACAAACAAAAACAAAGAATTGATTCATCCATTGGTAACAATGGGCTTTTCATCACTGCTGTGAGCCATCTCTCACCCAGCGCCATCTAGGCTTGAAGTGACTTACAAATAAAGTATGTGATTTAGGAAACGGAGACTTATGTCCGCATGCATAGCGGAAAGCAGTCTGAACACACCACTTAACGCCTGCCCCACTTGTAATCCCTTCTTTCCTGTAAAACGGCCATTTCTCATCCTGACTGACGTTTGCTGGATGGCCGCAGTGTGGTGGATGTTTCCCTATCACTGTCATTATAGGTTATTTGATGCAAATAGAGGAACCTGGTCACAATGGGCATAAATGGGCATTCGCGTGTAGAGAAGTTAGTCTGTCAGCAGCTGGGTTGGGCTGGTGACATGACCAGTAGAGAAACTAGACTTCTAACTAGTCAGCTGAGGAAAATTTGTTTATGGAAGCATTTGAGTGATGACGTTGAAAAGCTGTCTGGTTCTGCTTTTGTGACAACCACAGACATTAAGTGTAATCACTTTTATATTGCTAATTTGTTTAAGCTAATAAATAAGCCAAAATTATTGGAGTTTGTTTTAGAAAATACCATTTCAGTTTTTATTCTCCAAAATCAAAATTTTATGTTTAATTCAGTGTGTTACTTGCCGTTTTTTTGTAATTAATTATGAAATGTACTCAAATTAGTGAAAAATTTTACACCTCATTTTTGGGATTGTAAAACAAAAAATAACCAATAGCATGCCAAGCTATGAATGAATTTTAATGTTACAGCCAGATATGAATTTCTTAGCCTAAAGGCATAAAATGAAAAACACCTGCACCAAAATGATGTGTATTAATATTAATAGTAAAATTAATAACTATAAATTACAGATACAGAAAATGTTATTGTATTATTATAATTTTTTTAATGGTTTATATATACTGTATATATGTAAACTTGAGAATCTGATGTGATTTGGTTTAAATGCGTACAGTAGTGTGTTAATATAAACATAAGCATGTTCCACATGCCTTTAATATGGAAAACAAGGTAACACCAAATGGACATGTGGAATAAATTTATATTGGACTAAAAAAAAAAAAACTTGCTCAATTTCAGAAGACCACCACATGCTACTAGAATGTCTTTTCTTGTTCGCCTAAATTAACTTTTCCTCCTCACTAACACTGATGCAGCACCACAAGCAGTTTTGGTTCCTTTATCAGTTGTAAGTCTCTGAACCGGTTTGTACCGGAGAGGCCTGAGTCCTGTGTAAACTGATAAAAGCAGCTTTGTTGTCAGTTCTACCTTGCTCCTTCTGTCACTATAGAAACGTATGCACACACACATACACATATTGCTTCCACACAGTCTGTTCACTTCAAAGTTCCCTGCCCTGAACACAGTGAAAGACAGGAAAAGGGTGGGAGAGGGAGGACAATCCTGAGTCAAGCATATCATACAACACACAAGACAGACTGGACAACTGGCTTAAATATTTAGCCATAGTAGACCTAAACAAGCATGTTACCGTAAAATGAAAAAAAAAAAAACACGGAAATGAAAGCTGACAGACGAATTAAAAAAAAAAAATAGTGGTTTGCTTGAACGGAAAATTGGATGCAAGCTGAATAACTCAAACATTAAGCACGTTGCAGTGTCTGTCTTATAACAATATCATGTTGCATTTCATTGTGTTACTGAACTCCCACAGCTGCTCTAGTTCAAAGGTTTTAATAATAGGTCACATTTCACACGACCTGTAGCAATCACTTTTAAGTGTGTGTGTGTGTGTGTGTCTCTCTCCACCATAGTCACCTTTGGCAGGTGAATGTTTACACGGGAAATTCCCTCTTGGCAGCGAAGAAGAAGAGGTAAGGTGTTGGGCTCTGTTGTCTAGACCTTACATGACCGCCAGGTAGTCAGATGTCAGATGACGCATTCCTAGGCAATCAGAACTGGTTTGAACCAGTAGTGACCGATCAGAGCATTAAGATTAACAGGCATCCACTGATCTTCCCCTCTGCCAGCACTAATCCTAGACCATGCCAAAAGTCTGACAAAACACCTGAATGTACAAAATTACTTATCGCTATATA